CTCTTCGCGTTTGCTGCTGCTGCTGTTACTACCACTGCTGCTGATGCCGCTGATGCTGCTGAAACTGAGGCTACTTGTGTTTGAAATGACACTGGCGGTAGCAATTCTATCGTCTCGGCTCGTCTCTTCGCGTTTGCTGCTGCTGCTGCTGCTACTGCTGCTCTCAGTGGCGGAGGTGACGATCGTGATGGCTGAGCTGTAAGATCTCGGCAAAGAGGAGACATGTTGGTCAGAGGAGACGGAAACAGCAAGGGAACCGGAACTGTCCACTGCGCTTGAAATGTTCTCGGAGAGGGATTGAGTCGGGGTGGTAATGGGGGTGGGGGTGGCTAAAAGACGGAAAGTACATTAAGATAAGGAGAATGAACTATTCTTATCCGCCCGACGCCTGAACTGAATCCTGTCTATCACCATCGGATCCAAAACTCACCTCTGCAATGTGGCGCATCTACGTTACCATGCAGATACTCTGTGTTACCATATGCGCATTTTGAATAAAGCGAGAACATTTCACAACTATTGTCAGGAAACAACGCAGTCACTTCTCTAAATCTACTTCCTGCGATGTCTGCAACTAGAATTAATCCTTCTGGTCCCGCAGAAAACACCTAATGCCAACCGATAGTTCAATTATTTCTCTTCTCTCTCAAACACACTAGCACACAGAGAACGGTTTTCCTATTATCAACTACATCTTTGAAACATTGCATGGTCTTAAACTGCGTTGCGTTGGTAGCACATAGCTTCACAAAATGACTACTAAATAGATCTTTGCCACCAATTTTCGGAAACATCTACATCAGCATCCTTGGAAGTCGATGGCTGCTGGCTACCCCCTCAGTTGCACAGGACGGCCTAATTAAAATTTAACTGACAACCCTGCCACCAGTTAGAAAGGTCTTCTGTGTATTTGCCACTAAGTTTGTAAGCAAGGAAGTAAAACGGCCCTATAGGATGTCAGGTCCTAACTGGGCTCCATTCGCCCAAAGAACACATAAAACACCAGTAATAAGGAGGTGAAGTGAATGAATGTGGCACTTGCCTGCACTGTCTTGTGGGCGTGGACTCTCCTCGGCTGCATCTCGCAGATGTGGAGGTCCTAGGTAGTCGGCCAAAAAGCGAAACACGAATACCGTGAGGAAGTCAGGCGAGCTCGACATTGTCGACGGCGTTAATGACAGAGGCTTCGCTTTCAAATCTGGGCAGCATCGATTAAATGCATAATGTCTCCTAAAAATCGATTCCGCCGTCGGTGAGGCGCCGACCTCCGTTAAAGTGCAAATACTGACGCTGGCCCAGAATCCGCAAAAGTCTCATTTGCCTCAAGTACCGATGAGAGCATTACAATTTACAGATGTTGCGACATACCGTTAGGAGTATTATCCCTAATGTTTCAGGGGAAATTGATACCATAATAATAGAACATGTTCAGTTCAGTTTACTTGAGGGAAGTATAGGCGTTGAACCTTTCCACTCCCTATTTTTTACGAGTCAGCGAACCATATCAAATATTTTAAAATGGAAACATCAAACAGCTACAGAGTTTCTCCAGATTGGCAAAGTTTTCGAAACCAGACAGATGGACGAATTGTTCCAAGAGTTAAAAACATTAGCGTTACTAAATGTGTTGTACAGTAGTCTGTCTATGGATGGTTGGTGCTATCTCAGTTTCTGAGGGAGAAGAATTAAACGCCAAAACACATTCAACAGACATGGGTGGCATTATGACGTTTGGTGGTACACTGGTCCAACTTGTGCTTAAAAGCCTCGACGGAGGCAGACATGACGACAGCTGCAGGCAGAGCATTCCAAGCCTCGATCACTCTGTTTGAAAAGAAGAACTTCGAATGTCCAGCTTGGCGCCAGTCACACGTAATTTAAGTGGATGGCCTCGGAGGTTCGTTGTGGTCGCTAACTCAAAGAAATCAGCAGGTACGTGACAGCAGTCCTGGCCGCGCATTGTACGGAATGTTTGTATAAGGTCGCCTCTTAGCTGTCTGTAACTCAGTGGAAAAAGGCCGAGATTGGCCAGTCGTGTTTCATAGGGTACTGAACCCTGTCCAATTTACGAGTTTGGTTGCTCGCCATTGAACTTTCTCTAGGATGCTGATATTTAGGGGTCCAGGGTTTCCACGCCTGATTAGCGAACTCTAGCTGTGGCCGTACGAAAGTCCGTAAGACTTAAACGAAACAGTCCTCATCGAAGGTAGAGGTTGCAAAGGTCCATATACGGGTGTTTGGCCGATATTCTGCTACTGCATGGCGCCGCTGCGAGGGGTTCGGCGCGTCGCTGGGTCCCCAAGCACTCCCCGTCTGTTTTCTGGTAAATACTCCAATTTAAAAATTGTCGCTTTTTAATTTACTCAGAAATTATCTACGAACTTGGCGTAGATCAGTTTATTCAAGGTCTATAGACACAGACCGAGTGCTGGGGGACCCATTGACGAGCCGAACCCCTCGCAGCTGCGCCACGCAGCAGCAGAATATCGGCGAAACACGCGTGTGGGCTTTTGGCTAGTACTCGTGTTGTTAGTATGGTATTACCTTACCCTAATCTATACCACTAGCTGCCTGTCGGCAGTTAATGAATATTACGTGGTTATCCCCTGTGGCTGATGGGCTTCGATCCATATATTCATACACACATTTCTTAGTCTGTGCCTACAGACCCTGAAAAAACTGATGTACTCCAAGTTTGTAGATTATTTCTGCACAGAAAACTAAAAAACGACAATGATCCTTAGTATGGCAGTTTTCACTCCCCCACCTCAGAAATAATGGTTCTCAGTAGACAGCTACTGAATATTTGCGACTAGTAAGACTCCAGATGCTAACTCGTTAATCCGCAGCCCCAAAATGCGCACTCCTAGTCTACGAATTTGTTAAATTACGATTGTCAGTCATCTGTGAACTTGACATTTAATTGCGGACCATGCGAGTGAATGAGAAAGGTGAGTGTTGATGGGAATGAGGAGTATATGTACACAATTTTGAATGGGAGGCATGTTAGAGGAATTCGGTAGGAGACATAGGAGAGACTATCCAGTAGGAATTGTGAGGGGGAAATCGTACTTTACCGGCTTCTAGCTTTATGAAGGAGAAAGGCACCCTCATATGTTTCGAAAGTCATAATTACCGATCTACATCTATAGTCAGGCAGATACTGTCGGGACGATATCCACTGCTGCCATGACTGATGGAAGATAGATTGAATTTCATGAAATTGTTACAAAGGACGATGTCCAGTGGTAATCAATGGCTTTTAACAGTCTTGGTGCCAAAAACGGCCACAATGAAGATATTTAAACACTTTGATCCATTCGTAATTTTGAATGTTGGGCAGATAGATGCCTCGAATGATATTTTATCAAGTGTTCGTCTGTACTGATTTGCTTACTGGCAAGCGAATAAAGCATATGTTCTGGATCCTGCTTAGTAGTAGACTACCTGTCATTTTGAGGATGCTGCAAGCGCTAAATGCGATGACAGTTCAACAGCGCTAGCAGGAGCAAGTGGGTAGTATGGGTACTGTTTACAATGCCAAATTAGTAGAGTTGTCTGTGCAACCTCTGCGTGTGAACTCCTTCCTGCATTTCATACATTCGGAGACATTGACAAGCACAAACGCGTAGTGCTGCAGACTTTGCGATTTCGAGGCATTTGCAGGTTCCGTTTCCCAAGACATGTTAGGCTCCTATAACTGTACTAGATGAGGAGAATCAAGTCAAACTGAGAATGTTGCAAACATCAAGTGGAATGACACAAATGCACAGGCGACGACTGTACGACGAATGCAAGCATGCCTGAATGCAGAGGGCGTTAATCAGGGTGCTCAGTGTATCACCTATATTACCTACATGCGGCCGCGACTCCCCAAAGTGACCTAGGTGCCTTATCTCTGGAACTTCATAGATCGGTAAAGGCTTGAACACTGATTTTGGATGACGCTCCAAAGCTTAACGTCATCAGCGAACATGGTGACATCAAAATTCACTTCATCGACGCCGTCTTTGACGTATATAATGAACAGCGTAGGTTCAAGGACGGTATCTTGCAGAACACATTTTTCAACCGCTACCTCTGATGACTGCCTGTCACCGACGTGGACAATTTGAGAGCGACCGATCAGGAATCTTTGGATCCACCTCAAGGAATTACCCCCAATGTATATTCGGCTTAATTTGTACAGGAGACGCTGATGTGATACACCACCGAAGTCGACCTAGTATGCGTGCTCTGCATTACTGCCATCAACTTTCTGGATCCAGCGTCCTAAACAATAACGTAGGTACGCCGCGTCCCGAGGATTAGTCTCTTAACTAGGTGACTGTGTGCCTCGTATGCATTTATCCACACAGAGCTCATCTCCTCCATAATTTCCGCTTTTTATTGACTTCTTTTCTTAGCTTGCGTTAGCCAGGAAGGTCTGTTGCTCAATTTCCTCCGGCAAATAGGAGAGTGGTCTCTGGGAAGAACCTGCAATAACTCACTAAAGCAGTTCCAATCCTTGATCATGCCACCGGAACGAACTGATTCCCAGTTTATGGTGTTTAGTTAAGCTTCCATTTGGGCAAAGCCGCCGCGCCAAATGTTCCTTCTAACTCTCGTGTCCTGTTCGGGCAGAGAAGGATGGAGTGCTGTCACAACAGTACTACGTGGTCGCTTCGACCTAGGGGAGGTAGACACTGCAACTCATCGATGCTGTCTAGCGACTTCGTAAGGACCAGATCCAGACAGTTTGTCCGTTGCCCTTCGCGCACCCTCGTCGGAAATTAGACGTGTTGAGTGAGAAATAACCTGAGCTTCATGTCCAACAAACGTCGTTCGAAAGTATGGTCTGGCCCAGATGCATAGGCTGAACTCCGGTCAACATGAGGTGCATTGAAGTCTCCCGTGATTAAGATCTCGGACCGAATAGAGAACCTCTCCAGGTCCTCAAACAGATGGGCGTAGTTCGTGGGATGATTTCTCGGCGGTCGGTAGACTGTCAGGACGTCGAGGCTTGGTGAACCCGGGGCTTTTATAGATAGCCAAATTGCCTCGGAAGTACACGCAAAGTTTTTCTGTTTTATCTGAGACTATAAGCCCATGTTTTACATACGTGAGTACGCCTCCTCCCTGACGTTCTCTCCTGTCTCTTCTAAACTGCCGGTATCCTGGTATAGTTAAATCACGATTGTCCATCTGTGAATTCAACCAAGTTTCTGCAAGCTAGATTACATCCGGGGATGTATCTTTAAGTCGTCTAGGACTTCCGATAACATGCTGTACTCGACGTAAGCCATAATGGTGATTGCTTTTGGTACACAGGTTGTTATGCCCCAACCGACGTCAATGGTTAGACCTAATGAACCCACGGTAACTGTCAATGGCAATGAACCCACTTAGGTAGACCAATACTCCTTCCTAGGAAACAGAGTCTCTCTGACCACTAAGCTGAACGAGTATGCCTCTGTCCGGACATCTAGACCTGGCCAGACAATTGCCAATTTACAGATCGAACTAGAAACTCGGGGAAATGTGACACAACGTCAAGTCATTCTGACCAATTGCAAACGCCTGATGTCCTTGTCGCGTAAACATCTGTCGTGAAGTTTTCGTCCTCAATACGTCCGGGGAATGACATCTACCACTAACAACTTGGTTCTATTTACTAGGGGCACACTTTCCTGACAGGAGTGGAATGTACCACAATTATAAAATCGCAAGCAAACATGGAACATCAGTCAAGGACAACTATAGACAACTAACTTGTGGTCACATTACGCAGACAATTCGATTAACTAGGTCTGTCGCGTAGCCACCAATCAATTGGAATCTTCCAGGAAAAAGACCGACGACAATGCAGCCTGTATGTAAGAATGCACTGTGGAGTGAAGACGGAGGAGGTAATATGTGAAAGGGTCCAAATGCACTTAGGGAGGCCAGCACATTCTGCCGTCATCCGGTGATAGCTCAGCTGGTAGAGCGGAGGACTATAGTTGTGAAGCAGTGATCCTTAGGTCGGTGGTTCAAATCCGCCTCAACGGAGTTAGTTTTGGTTGACTTTTGCATCACGGCAGGCATTTCTGATGTTGGTGTCCATTTACCAGTTGACTCTGCGAGGCTGACAGTCAACCTGCGATGCGATTCGTTGCGTTTGAAGTTCACATTGACGAGGGCGAACTTACTTGTACAGTGCCCGTAAGCTAAATTATTTTTAATTGACTTTGTCGGCTTACCGTTTATATTTTAGCATCCAGTCAGCTAAGGTTGGTTCTCCCACTGAACAAAAACGTCGTTCATAGTGGAGGTCGGCAGCCGCCTGGGACAACTGAGCAACCCTATTTAGGGAGAGCACTGCTAACCCCCGAGAGTGGGAAGGGGCTATAAAAGGTGCCCTAACCAAATGCTGGGGACACATGCCGTCTGCAGGCTGACCGCAGTCTCAGGCGCAAAATTCACGGTCGGAACGCCCAAATTAGAAGCAACATTCCCATCTCCCACTCTTCCTCCTATTCCTCCTCCAACTCTCCGCTCCCCCCGACTCGCCAGACTGTTAGGGTGAGTCCGCTCACGCTGGCAGCATGAAATGTTCGTTCACTTTTAGACAATCCGAGGAGCAACCGACCGGAAAGCAAGACGGCGCTAGTGTCCCGCGAACTGGCGCGCTATAAGCTGGACATCGCTACACATAGTGAGAGCCGGTTCTCCGAACAAGGACAACTGGAGGAGGTGGGTTCCGGCTACACCTTCTTCGGGAGCTGTCGCCCCAGGGCAGAGCGACGTGACGCGGGAGTCGCCTTTGCCATCCGGAACGACATCATGGGACGACTGCCCTGCTTGCCGCAGGGCATCAACGATCGCCTGATGAGCCTCCGTCTGCCTCTCCTGCGGGGGGGCAAATTCAACACCATCATCAGCGCCTACGCTCCCCCGATGACCAGCCCCGACGCCGCCGCAACAGACAAATTCTACAAGGACCTACACTCCCTCTTGGCGACGGTGTCGAAGGCTGATAAGTTGATCTTCCTTGCTGACGTCAACGCCCGCGTCGGCACCGACCATACTGCCTGGAGGGGAGTGCTGGGTCCTCACGGTCTCCGCGGCTCCAACGACAACGGCCTGCTGCTCCTCCGCACCTGCGCAGAACACCGCCTCATCCTGACGAACACGTTCTTCTGTCTACCGCAGCGAGAGAAGGCCACCTGGAGGCATCCTCGGTCGCGTCAGTGGCACCTGCTGGACTATGTCCTCATCCGGAGGCGAGATCAGCGGGACGTGCCGGTGACGAAGGCGATCGCGGGTGCTGACGGGTGGACCGACCATCGCCTCGTCATCTCGAAGATGCGTATTCGCCTACAGCCTCGCAGGAGACCACATGGCAAGCGACCCCCAGGTAGGCTGAATATTGCCTTGTTGTCCTTGCCAGCTCACCATCTTCATTTCAGCAATGGGCTGGCTCAACGGCTAGACAACCTTCTAAATCGCTGCTGCTGTTGCCGCCGACGCCGCTGTTGAGAACGCTTCCGTGGAGAACCGCTGGTGTCAACTGCGAGACACGGTCCAGTCGACGGCGCTGGCCGTCCTCGGTCGCGCACGCCGCCAACACCAGGACTGGTTCGACGACAACGACGTCGTCATCAGCAATCTGCTCGCCGAGAAGAACCGCCTACACAAAGCCTACGTAGATCACCCCACTGATGCCACCAAAGCTGCCTTCTACCGCAGTCGCCGCCAACTTCAGCAACGAATGCGCGAGATGCAGGACGCCTGGACTGCTCGCAAAGCTGAGGAGATCCAAGGCTACGCGGACCGCAACGAATGGAAGAACTACTTCTCTGCGATCAAATCTGCCTACGGTCCGCCGACGAAGGGCACTGCTCCTCTCCTCAGCGCCGACGGCAGTACTCTCCTGACTGAGAAGACGCAAATCCTACAGCGATGGGCCGAGCATTTCCGGGGTGTCCTCAACAGCCCCTCCACCATCTCCGACACCGCCATCGAGCGTTTGCCGCAAGTGGAGACCAACGTGGACCTCGACCTTCCGTATTCTCTCTAGAAAACCATCAGGGACGTGCCAGGAGATGCGGACCCACCTGTACTCTACCTTCGTGGACCTGACGAAAGCCTTTGACACGGTGAATCGTGAAGGACTGTGGAAGATCATGCAGAAATTCGGCTGTCCGGAGCGATTCACTCAGATGGTGCGCCAGCTGCACGAGGACACGATGGCGTGAGTCACGGACAACGGAGCTGTCTCAGAGGCATTCGCAGTGACCAGCAGAGTGAAGCAGGGATGCGTGCTGGCGCCCACCCTCTTCAGCCTTATCTTCTCTGTCATGCTGATGGACGCCTACCGTGATGAACGCCCCCCCCCCCCGGTATCCGCATCACCTACAGGACGGACGGTCACCTTCTGAATCAATGGCGGATGCACTTCCAATCGCGTTTATCCACAACCACCGTTCACGAACTTCTCTTCGTCGACGACTGTCCTCGCACATTCACGCATTGCATGTGCCTACTCGGTCATATTTGCACTCAAGAAAACCTGCGGTAGACAACCGCCGGCTTTAGAACATCGTACCCTCCCTCCCTCACCACCACCCCACCACAAATCAACACTCACCCGTCACAAACACCCCACTGCCACTTCCCATGCAAGTGGGAAATGTGCATCTCGACTCGGTCTCCGTGCGGCTTCTGCTGCACGACCCGACATCGGTCCTCTCTGCTCCAAAAGGCATCACTCATGTTGTCTTGTTTTCCTGTGGTCCGATCTTTGAAATGCTTAATATGAATGACTGTAAAGTGTTCAATAATGATGCACTTTGTGTCCAAATTGGCATTTTGTAACATTAGATACCAGCCCCCCCCCCTGTTTGGCAGTCGTCTACCACCTTCTCCAAGAAGTATTGATCCGGGTCAGAAGACGAAGATGCAATCACTGGAACAAGAAATTTATTGGCCTGACTTTTCGGATTCTCACTCGAATCCATCATCAGTGTCATTCGTAGATAAAGGTGATGGTGGCACAAGGAGTGCAGTATTTGTAGCACGTGGCTGCCGTCGGACCGTATGCGTACTGTAATCCACAGCTCTCGCAATCACCGCTGGGGTCGTACTTGATGCGGTGGTGGCTTGTCGGTTCAAGACGAAGTCGTTAATGGCCGCGATTTCGTCATCCGTGCTGGATGCTGGTGTGACTATTGCTCGACAAATTGGCTCACCGTCACTGGGATAATTACTCGACCGCGCACTCCCCACCTGACTTATTCCCCTGACCAGGGAAATCTCAGCACGGAATATGGTACCGGGAAGTCATTTTGCTTGCTGATGAATTGCGGGCCTGAGAACCATGACTCGAGCAGCTCGCAGTTCACGCGGTTGTCACCCCTTGCGAGGATTTCGGCCTCTTGAAATTTGAAAATATGGCCGGGTCCCGTCGAGTGTGCCGCCACCTGAGAGTTAGCGCCTCCCCACCTCACTGCTGCTGCGTGCTCGGCAATTCGCGTACGGAATAATCTCCCAGTTTCTCCGACATAGTTGCTTTGTCCGAAACTACACCAGATCCGGTAAACGACTCCAGACGTTTCCTGCCGTGGCAGCGGCTCTTTTGGCCTCATGACTTGGCGCTTAATGGTTTCTTTCGACCTGTGTGCAACCCCAAGTCCAAGTGGAGTGGGAAGACGACTGACGGATTCCGAAACATTATTCAAGTACGGAAGGGCCCGCCGTAAGTGAAAAACCTAACGATCCCTGCTGCACAACTACAGTCCTCCGCTCTACCAGCTGAGCTATCATCGGATGACGGCAGAATGTGCTGACCTCCCAAAGTGCATTTGGACCGATTCATAGGTTAGGTTGTCTGTCTGCACTCCACAGTACGTTCTTCTATACAGTCTGCATTTTCGTTAGTCTTTTTCTTGGAGAATTCTCATTGTTTGGTGGCAGCGCATAATTTGAACAGACCTTCATTTGGCATATCAAGGCCCCTACTGCGCCTGCACGTCTTGACGTGTTCCCTGTGATATCGACTTCTATTCTAATAGAGCTGACTAGACCAAATAAACAGTCCTTGTGCACTCTGAGATGTCCTTGTAATCCGCTGTTTCCACCGTCGTAGTCATCCGGTGATAGCTCAGCTGGCAGAGCGGAGGACTGTAGTTGGGTAGCAGTAATCCTTAGGTCGGTGGTTCAAATCCGCCTCACGGGAGCTAGTTTTGGTTGAACTTTGTGCCAGACCAGTTAGCTGGTAGACTGTTTAGATTTTCCTGTGTTCATGGCCGTATGTGTACTGAGTGGGCATAAGGAAGGATTAGACTGTTTGACTCCACTAATGGACGTAATACTGGTCTCGGATTTAGAAACGGTAGAGTGCAAGGAACTTGTGGGACACATGAAATATAGGAAAATGGGCAACAGTTTTGCTGCCTTGATGAGGGTTCAAATGTCAAATAGCCTTAGGAAGCCCTCTTAAAAAGGGGTTGGCATTGCAATTCAATTCCTCCTATTGACATCCATCACGTTCCTCCAGTTACTTACCAGCCAACTAGTCTGGCATAAAGCTCAACCAAATCTAGCTCCAATGAATCGGATTTAAACCACCGACGTAGGAATAACTGTTGCACAACTACAGTCCCCCGATCTTTCATCGACGGAGTGTAAGTACATGACGAAACTGCATTTCGACCCGTCCAAAATCTAGTTCAGCGGCTTGTACTCAGCGCAAATCCACCTCTCCCGTTATCCTTTTCTTAGTAGTCAAAGTGTTCTGTTATGAAACTGAGCACTGATTGCGAGCTGGATCAACGCCACACTCCCTTCACCCCGCAAATTTCCAGCCACCCGACCCCAACAAGTCGACAGGGGATACTTAATAAGTGTTTTGGTAGATTAGGTGTAGAGGCTGATGGAAAACGTAAACCCGGTCTGACGCGTACCAGACGTAAACACTCACACCAACATGACAATTAGGTCGTCGCTAGAGATCCGTTTTGATTTCATGAAAGCATTCCTTCGTGTGGTCACTTCTCTTCTTTCTTCGGAGTCCTCCTTTTTTAGCGGTAAAGCGAAAGAATATAAATTGTGCTCTGACTTATACCGGCGTTCGAGTGCAGTGAGATAAAATGTTTCCCCTTACCTCCAACCCCACGTCACTCGGGATTGGTGTGCTTCAAGGCAGTGTGCGTAGTTCGCACTTCTGGTGCCACCTCGCCAATGACGTGCATAGTATACTCAGAAATGCATACGCTGCCGACTAAGAAGTTGTCCGCTGAGAAAAACCGAGAGATCACGTCGTCGCATTTTCGTAAGTCTTTTTCTTGGAGAATTCTCATTGTTTGGTGGCAGCGCATAATTTGAGTAGACCTTCATTTGGCATATCAAGGCCCCTACTGCGCCTGCGCGTCTTGACGTGTTCCCTGTGATATCGACTGCAATTCTAATAGAGCTGACTTGCAACACACAAACAATGTTTGTGCACTCTGAGATGCCCTTGTACTCCGCTGTTTCCACCGTCGTAGTCATCCGGTGATAGCTCAGCTGGCAGAGCGGAGGACTGTAGTTGGGTAGCAGTAATCCTTAGGTCGGTGGTTCAAATCCGCCTCACCGAAGCTAGTTTTGGTTGAACTTTGTGCCAGACCAGTTAGCTTGTGGACTGCTTAGATTTTCTTATGCTCATGGCCGTATGTGTACTGAGTGAGCATAAGGAAGGATTAGACTGTTTGACTCCACTAATGGACGTAATACTGGTCTCGGATTTAGAACCATTAGAGTGCAAGGAGCTTGTGGGGCAAATGGAGTTTAGGAAAATGGGGAACAGTTTTGTTGCAATGATGAGATTTCAAATATCAAATGGCATTAGGAAGCCCTCTAAAATGGGCTTAGCATTCCAATCCAATTCCTCCGATTGACTTCCATCAATTTTCTCCAGCTACATACCAGCCCACTAGTCTGGCATAAAGTTCAACCAAATCTAGCTCCAAAGATTCGGATTTAAACCCCCGACGTCGGTAATATCATTCTGCCTATATCATGCGCCGCTGTGCGCCTGCTGGTAGGGCTCGAGAGAGAGTCCATAAGGCACAACGGAACGAGGGAGTTGCGTAAGAACGATCGGTGAGCGCCCCCTACCAGTGTAGGAATAACTGTTGCACAACAACTGTCCTCTGATCAACCACCGGTAGAGTGTAATCACAAGACAAACTGCAGTTTGGACCGCCTAACAAGGTAATTTAGTAGCTAGTACACTGCGCAAATCTACTTCTTTTTACTCCTCTACACCCCCCCACACCCACCCACACGCACCCACCATCAAATTCGTTGATGTCCACCGTGTGCCCCTCAGCAGCATCAGCAGCAATGGGAGCAGGGATGGTGACTTGCGCAGGGGTTTATAGTGCCAGTAGATTTGCGCTGCATCTACCTACACTCTCTCCTCCTCCCCCGCCTGGGCCCGGTGTCAAGACAGAGTCAAGAAGACCGGAGACGAGGGAGGCCGCAGGTGGATGGCTCGGACCGATCCTCACCTTGACGTTCCATCATACCCCCTGGTCCACACAACAAATAACCAGGATTTCAACCAACACAACAGAGATTTGAAGGCTGGCACGATCGAAGCCGCACCTAGGTGTGCCGCCGACGCCTGTCTCGGATCCCACACTGTAGTGGGAATTCCATAAAGGCCACATTAAGAAGGAGCCATTGCAGCCTGACTCTCAAGCCGCCTCCAGTCACGGAGGAGATCCAAGTTACTTCGTCAGTTGGCAACCTTCCAAGCCACGGCTTTTAGCGCACCGTGATAGCTTTAGGCGCGTCAGATTGTTTAAAGTGAGGAGGAAAGTGCGCTGAATCGTCGACCTCACTCTCCCTTCCCACTCCCACACCCCAGCCACTGTCCGAGCCGGTCAGCAGACTGGAGTGGGGAATGGGCGCGGTGGCTGGCACGGTCGACTGACCATGCCTGTGTGCGCCACTTGCATGACCTGGCCCCCCATACACACACACACACACACACACACACACACACACACACACACACCAGGATTTCACACAACG